ATTTTCATCCCAGAGGATAATAGGATAAATTAGGGTCAAGGATAAAGCCCTCTGTCCTACTACCCAAGTCCACATGATATCTTGTGATTATGCAATCAGCTATGGAGCAACCAAGTTGTTTAGTTTCCTAGGGCTACCAAAACACATTACTACAAACTGGGTAGCTTAAAACAACAGAAATTCATTCTGTCACAGTTCTGGAGGCCAGAGGTCCTAAGTTGAGGTGTCGGTACGGCCACGCTCCCTCCAAAGACTCTAGAGAAGAACCCTTCCTTGCCTCTTCCTAGCCTTTCTTGGCTGTCGGCAATCCTTGACATTCCTTGGCTTTTGCTGCACCCCTCCATCTCTGCCTCCATCTTTACGTGGCATTCTTCCTTCCATGTGTGTCTTTGATGTGTTTCTGTGTCCAAATTTCCCTCTTCTTGTATGATGCCAGTCATTGGATTTAGCGCTCACCCTGTTCCAGTATGAGTTCATCCTAACTAGATTACATCTACAGAGACCCTATTTTTCAAATAAGGTCTCATTCACAGGTACCCGGGGTGAGGACTTCCAACATATCTTTTGGGGGGACACAGTTCAACCTACTACATAAGCGATATCAGACTTCATCTCCCACATCTCCTTCTTGACCTCCAAGCTCTAAAGAGCATCTCTATCAGAAGCTTTGCTACGATCCAGATGGCCATGGGAGTCCATGCGCCCCAACCCTCATAAGCAGTCAACCTGATCTTCTCACGCCGTCTAGGGTGGTGGTTGCCACCAGGAGCTGCATGAGGGCTGCCCTATCCCTTTCCACTTTTCAGAGATTCTGATCGACTCTCCCCCTGGGGGAGGCCAGGATCTCCTGGGGGGTAGGAAGGGGGTAGCTGGAGGAGGGAGGCCATAGAGTAGCACGGTTAAGAGCTTGGACTTTGGAATGAGACAGACCTGTGACTTTGGCCTAGATTATTCAACCTCTCTTGCATCCCATTTTCTTCCCCTGGAACATGTGAGTGATAAAACTTACCATCTTTACGAGGATGAAATGACAGCCCAGGATAGAAGTGGCTATTTGCCGTCCTTCGTGCAGCTGCTACTGCTGTTAGCTGCTGGGGATCTGGGTGAATCTAGATCTGAATCCAGATCTTCGGTGTCCCCTGAGACATGTTCCTTGACTGGGCTAAACCCTTTACAGGCTTCCGCATCTGTAAAACCTGACAGAGAAACCTGACTCTCAGGGTGTTGTGAACTCTAAGGACACCCAGCACAGAGCCTGGGGCACAGTCAAAGCTGTGTAAATCTTTGCTTCTTTCCCTTCCCCTCTTCTCCCGTGAACAAAGGAAGTGATGTTAGTCTGACATGACCTATTCTTAGGAAACTCACGGTGGCTCCTTTACAATCGCTCTGTTTTCTCTGCCCCTGGGGAGAGATCTTGGATTTTATTTTGAGCCTGTCTTTGTAAAGGCTCTAAATTAGAAACAAAATGCTAATTATAACTATAACTATAACTATATATATATATATCTTTTTCTCCACCAGGCCACTTAGTTCTTCAGGAAGCCGTCTTAAGTTACTATTTTTATCTTCATGCCCATTTTCCCCAGGCAGTAAGTGAAGGCAGGGGGTTCATAATGGCTCTGGTGGCCAGGTGGTATCTAGGGGTGACAGGGGTGGAGCAGGGCTTCGATCCACACCCTCAGACTCCAAGTCCTACACTTTGCCTTTACATAACAAAAAATTAGATTTCTCAAAAGGAATTACATATGTAATTACATAAGCTGAATTACATATGTGAACTAATTTTTTTAAGAAAAATCCGAACATTACTGCTAAACCTCAAGTTTCTTTGTCAGTCACCTTCCATCAAAACTTCTCCTTTTCTCCACATCCCCAGGGGTAACTACTATTTATGGGTTTGATATGTATGCCCCAGAACTTTAAAAAAGAGAGACATTTCCATTCCTTTATTTCTATACAAACCTACACAAAATACATTGTATTGTGTTTTGGAGGGGAGTGTTTTCACAGAAATGGCATCATGTATCACACATGGTTTGGCAACTTGCAATTC